CTTTCCCTTTTTTCTGCCCCTTCCTTCCATTCCCTTTCTTCCTTTCACTTCCTTTCTCTCTCCCTTTCTCTTTCTTTCCCTTTTCTCTTTCTTTTCTTTCTTGTATCTTCCTTCTCTCCCCCCCTCTCTTTTTCCCTCTCTTTCTCTCTCTCTTTCTGTATCCCCCTCTTTCTCTCTCCCCCTCCCTCCCTCTCTCTCTCTCTCTCTTTCTGTCCCTTCCTCCTTCCCTATCTCCTTCTAAAGCTAGGAAGCCCACCCAAAACACACACGTTCTCCCAGTTTGGCCCTGTTCTGTTGTACTCTGCCTATCAGAGAATAAGCCTGCAGGCAGGGACTGTGCTTTTTAGTCTTTGTGCAGGGTCTTAAGAAAAAATACATGCAATCAACAGAAACAAATGAGGCTGCTTATAAACAAGATGATGTTCAGAGCAACCCCAGTTCAACAGTATAATAGAATAAGAACAGCCCAGAAGAAAGGCAATAGCAGGGAGGGAGGGAGGGAGGGAGGGAGGAAGGAAGGAAGGAAGGAAGGAAGGAAAGAAAGAAAGAAAGAAAGGAAGGAAGGAAGGAAGGAAGGAAGGAAGGAAGGAAGGAAGGAAGGAAGGAAGGAAGGAAGAAAGAAAGAAAGAAAGAAACCACTCTACTGAGGGCTGCAGAATCATGCAGCCTTTAACGTTTCAGATTGGTGACCCTTCCTAGACCCAACTGGTGCTTCTTATTGTATCTACAGTACACGAGTTTCAGTCCCAAAGATGCTCCTTCTCCCCAGGAGCCCAATCTTCGATTCTGGATGAATACTTCTGCACCCTTTCACTCTTTCTTCCTCAACATCCTTCTTACATTGGATCACAAGCTATTGAACCAGATCAGAACCAAGAACAACAGTTGCAGTTATGCTGCAATGGTCATAAGTGTTGGAAATGGTCATGTCACTTTTTCCAGTGCCATTGTAACTTTGAATGGTCACTAAATGAACTGTTGTAAGTCAAGGATTATCCATACAAAAATACAAAAAGCTTCTTTGCTTGCAAAAAGCTGCTCTAAATACCAATCATTAGATTAAAAATACCTGCAGGCCGGAGTTACAAATCAGGCAGGGTGCCAGAGCACCTTGAGGAATTAAAATAGTTAAAATGCAATGATAACTATCAAACAGCCAACTCTTGCTCATAAAGTGAAACCCTTTAAAAGAGAGGTCATTTAAGCTCTCCAGAAAAAGCAGACCCAAGAAAAGTAATCCTTAGATCCATTTGCACCATTTAAAAATACCAGCTGGTCTCACCTGCCCTCCAGAAGGGCAGTAAAAAAAATCAGTGCCAAGCTTGTATCCTGCATCTTGGAAGTATACCCCTAAAGGACAGTGACAGATAGTATTAAAGCAGTGACAGAAGATAGAAAACAAATAGAAAAAGAAACCATGAGGCAAGAAAAAATTCAAACACAATACAAATAATTAAATCACAACAGTAGCTGTTGCTTGTTGAAGCTGAAAAGGGAAAATATCCCATCAATAAACACAGGATTAAACTTCACCAAGCACAGAATTAAGGTTCACCAACCTTAATTTTAGACCAAAACTTAGAAAGGGTATGTAAACTCATGATTGAATGTCAATCCTTCTAGCTAGCCAATAAGCCTTGCTGAATATCACTCATCTTGGTTCCCTGTCACTAAAAGCTTTGCTTTGTTATTCAATTATTTTTTCAAAGTGCTGATTGTCCAGGGAAGTATTTCCTCCCAACAGCAGTGTAAAAATCTTAAAACAACCCTTCCCCTTTAAGAAAGCCAAGTCTCACAAGCTCCGGAGGCAGCAAGTCTAAGCTGTCTGCCAAGAATGTAATAAGGGTGGAAAAAAACAAACAGAGATTGCTTCTAACTACTGGTTCTCTGAACTACTTAGAAAGTTAACAAGGGGTTCTATAGAACCGGATAGAACTGGTAGAATCCCAGCCCTGGTCTAGGGATTACAGCATTGATTTAGAAGCAGAGAGTCCTAGGTTCTGGTCCACAATCAGCCCAGAAACCATGGAACCATGGAACCTCTGTCAGCTTAACCTGCATCACAGTTTTGGGGGTTTTGTTTGGGTGGATGGAGAAAAATGAGATGAAGGAACACTAGTGATACTACCTGGAGCTTCTGAATGAAAGGTAAAGTAAAAAACTCAAAGGAACTTTCAGAAAAGTGAATGGAAACTTCTTTGATTCAAGATTCTCTACCCTTTGGGCATAAACAACACAGGTCCTTCAACTGGAGGTCAAAAAAATAAAAGTGGGGGACCCTACTCTGGTTGTTTCATCTAAGCCCCATGTGCTAGTTTTTCCTACCATTTTTAACCAGTGCAAAAAGGAGAATAAGCTATTCTAGCAAAGACCAGATTCCTGAACTCATGAATATTCTTTTCAGACTCTTCCCTGGATGCGATTCAGCTTGGTGCCAGATTTATGATGGAGAGAAAGAAAGATTACTTATAGGATTTGGCATATTTGTTTCAAACTCTACCAAAGTTAAATTATTCAGAGGAAGACCACCTACCCTCCTATTTACAGTCTTACTAAAGGGGCAACCAATCTTCTCCATCTAATTTTCTTTTCAGCAACATGTTCTGGAAGTATAAAAGAATACAAATGGGAACAAAATGCCTTTTGGGAAAGTGTTCACAGGATCCTGCAACATAATGCAAGCAGTATTGCATCATTACGATGAAAGCTTTGCCCTTATGTTTTTAACTATTGATCTTATACACTGCCACAACCAACTCTCAACAGGTATACCTCACATAACATTTAAAGCAACCAACATTAAAACATACAATAACCACATAAATAACAAAAACAAATAAAATAATTAAAATGGTGCAATGCAACCAAGAGCACACCTTCTGGAATAGTTTGTTTCTTAGCAACTTTTTAACAGCCAGCAGGGATGGAATTACACACACACACACACACACACACACACACACACACACACATATGTATGTATATATGTATGTAATTCTGTCTCACACTACTGATCTTGCATCATGTCATGGTACTTTAGGCCTCTGTCCTTTGCAAAGCTGCAGCAAAAGGTTTTGCAAATGGAGGGAAGGCCTAAAGCACTAAAGCCTTCCCTCCATTTGCCAACTTTGCAAAAAGCCTTTGCCATGTGCGTCCCTCCAGGCCTCCTTTCTCAATGGCAAAGATCTTGAAGAAAAGCCT